ACACTGGCAATGCTTTGATAAAACCCGGATGATAAAATTCGTCTTGGTCTTAATCCAAGGATCATATCTAAGGTTGCTGATGACTCACATGGCGAAAGAATACTTGATGAGCTTGAAAGGGATGATGTTGATACATCTTTTATGGTGGTGTCCAAAGGAGGATACTCACCATTCACATATGTCATTGTTGACAATCAAAAAAAAAAAAAAAAAACTCGCACGTGCATTTTTCACTCCAGGATATCCACCCATGATATCTGAGGGTCTACATACCCAAATCAAAATTGTCTTCAGCGCTTGGAGTAAATATTGTCTACTTAGATGGAAGGCTGCATGAGACTGCTTTGATTGTAGTGCAGGAGGCAAAGAGTAGGGGCATACCTATTATAGTTGATGCAGAAAGGTTAAGGGAGGGGTTGGGTGATATTCCTGACTTTGCTAGTTATGTTGTATGCTCGACAAAATTTCCACAGGCATGGACTAACGCCATTTCTAATCCAACTGCACTTGTTTCCATTATCTTGAGATTAATGTCAAATGTAAAATTCGTGATTGATAGTTGGGTGAAGATGGTTTCTTAATGTTAGAAAGGACTGAAGCGGATAACCTCAGTTTGAAGAAATGGATGTAGCAGTGACCAATGGATGGAGAAATACAAGGATTAGAACATAAAAAGACAGAAAAACCCTTCTAATTCACGGTCAACAAACGGCGTCATTGACGGAGGATCAAAACTGTCCAACGATCAATAACAGTGGCTACTAAATGGCAATTTTTATTATGGAGGATGAAAAGTATCAATGCCCCAATAAGTCTAGGACAAAAAATGGCATTAACTCTTGTATTCCGTGAGTCACAATAATAATATAACAATAATTAAATATTGTTCAATTCTATATTCTTCTAGGATTTCTATTACCATCATTAATTATTCCCAAATTTACCATAATTAAATAATTTGACCAATTATAAAGAAAGATTATTAAATAATGCACGGGACAATTGTTTAATTAAAAATTTTAAAAAGTCATTAATAAAACATAAGATTCTCATAGTTTTTTCTTAGAAACTCTTTAATAAAGTATTTTTTTTAGAAATTGGTGGCCAAACCGCCAACGGTAGTTTGCGGTGGATAGATCTCGAAAAAATACGCGATTTCAAAAAAATATTTGTCCAAAACAGACAACGGAGTCAAAAGTTAGGCCTTGCTGAACTTTTGACAAATGGGACACGGTCACATTGCTCAAATGGGACATGGTCACATTGCATAAATCACATGGTGGCTTGGGCATTAGGAAATTAGACCTTATGAACCTGGCTTTTCTAGCTAAGCTTGGCTGGAGGCTACTGAATGAGGAGAACAGCATTTGGATCCAGATCTTTCGCACTAAGTATGGGGCAACAATAGGGGATTGCTCGAAATGGAAACCCAAAAGAAACATGTCAAATGCCTGGAAAGGCATTCTCAAGGCTATCCCAATACTCCAAAACGGGATTCGGAAACACGTGGGCAATGGGGAAGACACGTCTTTTTGGCAAGACAAATGGCTAAGGGACTATCCCCTTAAGGATGCTGCGATATGCCCAATACAGCCAAATGAATATGAAAGGAACGTGTCAAGTTATTGGGATAACGATCATGACTGGGATTGGGAAGTGCTTAACCGCATGCTACCTGAGGAAGAACTATCGATTTTAGAAGCATATATGCTCTCTGAAGATCCAAATGAAAGAGACTCCACTAGTTGGAAAGAGGAAATTTCAGGTCTGTTCTCGGTCTCTACTGCGTATGATCTAGCCTGCGGATCCCCAACTCCTGTTGAAGCAGCCAAGTGGACAAGTATATGGAAACTTAAAGTCCCTAACAAGATTCGAACGTTCCTATGGCTTGTTGCTCATGATAGAATAATGACAAACACAAATAGAGTAAGAAGGGGCCTAGCTGGCAATGATAAATGCTGGTTTTGTACTCAGATAGTGTGGAAGATACTGACCATGTTCTGCGTAGCTGCCCGAAGGCTAAAGAGGTATGGAACATCCTTTTTCCCAGTCCCAGCAGTACCAGCCTAGTCCCGTTTCAGGTTTGGTTCGCAAAAGGCATAGCAAGTAGACATGATGGCAGAAGCCCCATAGACAATAGTACACTGTTTGCCACCACACTATGGTGGATTTGGAGATGGAGAAATGAGGCTGTCTTTTGCAACACTGTATTACCCACTAATACGAAGATCTTTTGGATTAAAGCGCAAGTAGATCAAAGCATCAAAGCCTATGCAAGAGCCAAAGGTGGCCAGAATAGTAAAGATTGGGATTGGAAGCAGTTATCATGGATCAAACCTCAAAATGGCTTTGTTAAAATCAATGTCGATGGCACTGTCAACCAAAATCTGCAAGCTGGTGGAGGTGGATTGATACGGGATAGTACAGGATCCTGGATACATGGATTTGCGTATAATATAGGGAGTTGTTCTCCCTTGGTAGCCGAGGCGTGGTCTATGCTCAAGGGGATTCAACTTGCAGCAGATATGGGATTTAACAAAGTAGTGTTTGAAACGGATTCTAGTGAGATTGCAAGGTTTATCAATAGCCATGAACCTCCTTCATCGGTCGCTAGGAATATTCTTCTTGCGTGTAGAAGGGAGCTACGACTCTTTGAGGCATGCAAAGTCGAAGCAATCCGCCGAGAACAGAATAGTGCTGCTGATTTTATGGCAGGCTTAGCAGCAGAACTGCCCAGAGGATTTCATGCCTTTACAAGACCACCAGAAGGAATTCAAGGAATATTAGATGATGATTACTATAGTCTTCCACATTGGCGTGCTGTAAATAACTCTACTTGATTGTTCTCCTTTCGGGTTTCCCCCTCCATATATATATAAAAAAAAATATCATGAACCAAGGTCCATTATGTGCATTGTAAACTGTAGTCCAAATTATGTATCTAAAATTAACATTATATATATATATATATATATATATATATATATATATATACTTTCAGTTAATAAATTATATATTTGTAAATAATCTAAAGTTACATAATACGTTAATTACAACAAGTACATAATTTGTTAACAGAAAGTATATAATATATTGATCACATGTATCCGCAATATACATAATAAACCTTACTCCACAATCTAACGATTTACACCCAAACCTCAAACGCTTGACATATGTTAGCACTTTGATCCAAATTTCAGAAAATCTAACTATTTACTTTTACTTATGTATGCTTCAATTTTTTTAATTTTATTTAATGGGTGTTATTATATTATACCTACAATATTTTCAACTAAATTTACATAAAAAAAATTAAAATTAAAATGATATAAATTTAACTAAAGAGAAATGTTGCTGGATAGTAATGATGGCAAATTATACCATGTACAAAGTCTACCTTACATTATGAACTTTGGTCCAAAATAACTCATTCAAATTATATACCTGCAGTTGACATATTCTTTACTTGAGAACAACATATTATGTGTCTCCAATTAACAATTTATGTATTTGCAGTTACCTTTTAATGTGTTTGTAATTATTATGTTATGTACTTCTATTGTATGTGTCTGTAATTATCATGCTATATGCCGTTCTTCTATGGTATAACAATTGAGTAATGATTTAGACGAAGATGAGCTCTCCTAGATTGCATTGAGATTTGAGAGAACAAGCCTATAGTCATCTCAACCCATCATTATATCATGGTTCACCTAGTAAAGTGAATAATTGATATAAGGTATATTTTTATATATTAAAATTTAAAAATTTATTATTAAGGTACATTATTGAATACTAAAGGTTTATTATATTTGGTATACTATGAAATAATAAACTTTCAGTACATAAATAATGCATTTATGGTTGAAAAAATTTGCTAGGCGCCCTCTAGGGGCATGGGGGGCGGCCGGGGCACCTAGGCGCCGATTTTTTTTTTTAAAAATATTAGTTAAATCCCGCCTAAGCTGCCTAGACGACCGCCTAAGCCGCCTAGTTCACGGCAACCTACTCGGCGCCTAGAGAACATAGGGCGCCTAGGCAGTCGGCCACCGCCTAGCGTCGATTAATCGGCGTCTAGGCGCGAGTTTTGCAACATTGAATGTACCTATAATATATGAAAAATAAACATTTATTTATGATTCATATTACAATATAGATCATAATTCACAGTATAATTTGCCAATCTCAACTACTAGAAGGTTGGTGCTCAGCAGTTGTCTAACCTCCCAAATTCCAAAGGAAATGCTTTCCAAACCAAACTTATTAGTCGTTACGCAAGTAGCATTGGTTAGCAAAACAAAAGATAACACGACAATGAATATGAAAGTTGTCCGTACGGCCTTAACTCAATAATTCAGTAGGCCGTATTTGAAAGGAGAGACTAAAGTTCGAATACTGACGACGATAGTGTAGAGATTATGTTTAAAGTGAACAGATTCCTTGTGTGCGCACCAACATTTAACTCTGTCTGTTGAACCATTAAACTACCATAATTTACATATTTTTAAATATTTTGTCGGATCAGAATGTAAGGACCCTTGAAGTTGGGAATTTCAACCGGAGAAATAAAATGAAAGTTTATATATTAAAACTTCAGCCCTCTCACCAAAACCCTAACTCTATCCAGTACAGAGATTAGAGAATCTCCCACAAATGGCTCACCACCCTAGACGCAGCAGCTCATTCTAGTTCTAGTACTTGCAAGCACAACACAAGCCCCACTACTCACCACTTCCCAAACTTGGACCACAAACCCCAAACTTAAATTTTCTTTTTTGATACATTACTTTTCTGCCACGAGACTAATACTAAGTTTTCAGAATTCCTGTCCAAGAGTACTAGAAAAATTAAAATAAATTACATGTCACCTAACAAGTCATTAATTTCCACTCCTACTACTCTACACATAAGGAGTCTTCATCACCTCTAATCAATTTTTTATACTTTGGATTTCCCAAACTTAAAATTAAGGATAAGATTTCTTTCTTTGTACTCTAAAGATATTATCTGCACACATATTTGCACAAGAGAACAAAGAAGCATAAAAACGCCAAAACACAATGTCTCCCTTAAGAAGGGATGGTGCTCAAACAAAAATTTAGTAGCATAGCAACAAAAAAGGGGCCTAAAACTAGGAGATATTCATAGAAAAAGTCAAACTACTTCATCAGAAACCCCATTTTCTGTGTCATTGCTGATGTTGTTTTTGGTGGAGGTGGTGGTGGTTGTAGTGTTGTTGAGCTTTTTGGATGAGCCTTTGCAAAGGTTAACTGGGTATTTCTTAGCATTGAGTTCTAGCTTTCTAAGGGCAGCCTTACCAAGATCAATGCTACAAATGTCAGAAAGCCTGACCAGATAGAGCAAAACATCTGAGAGCTCTTCACCCAAGTGCTGCTTCTCTTCCTCTTCCCATCCAGGGAGGCCTCTTGGTACCTCACCTTTCCACTGAAATATCTCAGACAGCTCTCCCACTTCCCCTACCTGGAACATCAAAACATGCATGCAGCACAATCAATGATCACACTGCTCACTTTGCTAACAGTACACTACTTTGAAAAGAGAGGATATAAAGTGGTGGGTTTATGGTAAAAATAGCATTAAGTAGAAGATAGTGTGAAAACACACGCCCAAAAGTCTCATTGTTTGATGTTTGCACTTTAATGTGACTGTACTTGCCCACAAAAGGTAAAATTTCTCTTCCTCGGACCCCACATTCCCACCCGACAGGAATGTAAAGAGATAAATCTCGGTGACTTAGCGCCCATTAAGTAGGAGGATTAGTGTCTGGTGCCTCTGACACTACTTGCCTACAAAAGGGCGAGTCTCAGTTGGTCACATGGGTAAAGTTTTGAAACAATGGCCCGGGATCGAGTCTCATTAGCGGCAGTGTAAGAGTAACCTCTCAAAGTGAGGGAAGCTCCTTGTGCCCAGTAAGCAAAGGTCTAGCCTCTATGTTCAGCTAGTTACCATGATTTACATTCTCCAAAATGCTCTGGCTGGCATGAACGTGGGGGCCCTTGGGGTTGGGGATTCAACCTTTTGGGAACAATACAAAAGGCAAATTCCTCATCCTTAGACCCCACATCCCAACCCAACAAGATAGTGAAGGAATAAATCTCAATGACTTAGCGTCCATTAGGGGAGATAAACACACTCTAGTTCCCACAAGGAGCTCACCATATTGGGTGTAACTCCCACGTAGGCTGACAGAACTTAATTATGTATACTATTCACAATCTATCACCTAAGAAACAACTGGGCTGTCCGTGCAGGCTTTAATGTGACAGTACTGGGGCATGTGATGATGGTGTTTGTTCAGGGCTTTGTGCATACAGTTCAATTTCTCAGACTACAGTGTAATAATGACATTCTAGGAAACATAAGACCACTCACCACTACTACCTAGTTTGTTTCCAAGAAAACTGAATAAAAGAAAGCTTTTATTGTGTCTGGGTTTTCACACTCTCAAACAGTAGAGTACTGTCATGAATGGCCTCCACACCCCCTTCCATAAACATATATACACTATAACACACAACACATGCCATATTAGTATTAGGATTTTACTATGTACACAAGAATAAAGTTGGTACCAAGTGGCCTTAACATTTGTGTTTGTACTTGTTCATTCACTGTATAATCATATCAAAATAGACAAAACATAAGAAACTTGCCCACAAAGGACCCAAATCACAGCCAGATAAGATTGTAAAAGGGTAAATAAAAATGACTCAATGACCCATTAGACGAGTGAGAGGATTAGTGATACCCACAAGGAGCTACCCCATAAGACGGTGAAACTTCCATAATGTAGAATCTGGCTATCGGGAATCAACTGAGCTACCCGTGCAGGCAAGGAAGGGAAGAGGGGGAGGTACAGAAGTCACAGAACCATTATTGTTTGGGTAAAACATTCAAATTTGGCCTTTCTTTCTGACAAACACCCCCATAACTTGATGAATCAAGTTTAGGATTTGCAAAAGCAGTGATCAAATCAGCTGAAAGGGGTAGACATATAGCAACCAGAAGATTTAACCACTCCATCTTTATACATGATTCCTTTTCTGGCATAACTCTTACCAAAACAACACTCCAAAAAGAAATTAAACCCTCCCATAATGATGACTATTAACCCATGAAGAAAAGGGTAAAAAAAAATAAAAAGATTTTCAAAGAAAGAATGCCTTTTTGGTCAGTTTTTCCTTCTTCTTCTAAAGGCCGTTTACTCAAATGCGTTTTCTGTAGACTATAATCAATACAGTTTAAGACTCCATATAGGTGCCATACATACAGTCTTTCATTACTCCTGGAAAACTAAATAGATAGAGTTCCTGAACTCCTGAACCCTTTCACATAGAAAGAAAAATAGCAATAATGAGAAGAAAGTACCAAGGCAAGAAGGAGATTTCTTGGGCTATGGAACTGATCCCAGTCTCTTTCCCTGGCGAAATCCGCCATTTTCTTCTGCAACTCTTCCAGTGTCACCCCTGCAGCTCCCTCGTCTGAGGCTCCGTTCATCTCTCTCTCTACTCTTGCAGATTCTCCTCCTTATGTCGTCGTCGGCGACGCCGCCGTCTGAGTTGAGACTGCGCCGAGAGATCTCTTTTTCTTTTTTCTTTTTGCTTGATTTTGGGTGCGTCTTATGTTCTGCGTGTTTGTCATTTTGTATAGGGCGTGCCGGCGTGCGGACGAGGATCGGGTGACTGGTTGTCGCCGGTTTCGTCGAGTCTTTAACTGACACCTGTATTTTCCTACTTCATCTTGTGCAACCAAATAATTCTCCCTTTTACAAACATGATACGGAGTAGACTACCACCATCCGATTCATAAAATTTTTTCTCACTTTCAAAATGTTATATTACCAAATTTATATTCATTCCGTCATATTTTATGTGTATTAACGAAACTTGACTAAAGATATTTTTAATCCAATTTGTCATAAGATTAAATTTAGTATTAGTATTAGTATACAAAATTTATATATTTAGAAATTGCACTAAAAGTACTATTAAACACAAAAAATCAAAATTAAAAATGAATAAAAATACTAAAGAAAATAAACAAAGAAAAAATAGGTTGGTTTGACCAATTAATAGTAAGTATGACAGATAAAATGAGACAGAGGGAGTAATTAACTACTATTCCCTAACCCCATTTTACGTGTCTTGACTGAAGTTATTTTTAATTCAATTTTTTATAATATTAAGTTTAGTATTAATATACAAAATTGACAAATTATGATATGGACCCGTGTCCACCATGTGCATGGTGGACATTCTGTATATTCATAATTTCTATATTGTAGATTCATAATTTCTAAATTGTAGATTCATAAAATTTATAATGTAGATTCATAATTTCTATACTTCACATTCAGAATTTCTGTATTGTAGATTCATAATTTCTGTAATGTAGATTTTATAATTTTTAAATTGTATAGTTATCAAATTATGAACACATAGTTATCAAATTATGAATCTACAGTACATAAGTTATGAATGTGCAGTATAGAAATTATGAATCTACATTATAAATTTTATGAATCTACAGTATAAAAATTATGAATCTACAGTATAGAAATTATGATTCTACAGTACAGAAATTATGAATGTGCAGTATAGAAATTATGAATCTACAGTACAGAAATGAGAAAATTTCAATTTTGGTCCACTGACTATTGGGGTTGTGTTAATTGCAACACTTGACTTTCAAAAATGTTAATTTAGTACTTTGACTATGCAATTTCTATCAATTTTGGTCACGCCGGTCAAATTGCTGGCCAAATCTCACCGAAAAAATTTAATAGGTCAATTTAGGAGGGTATTTTGGTCATTTTACTTTTTTCCTTTCTTCCCCAGCGAGCCAACTCCATTTCCGGCGAGCTATTTAATTCTAACCGGCGATTTCCGGCGATGACTTATTGCCGTTAAGCACCAAACAATCCCTGGAATTCCCGTTAAGCCCATCCCCTTTTTTCTCCCCTATCGACAAGCTCACAAATAAAAGCAGCTCCCCGCTAGCACTTCCTCTGCGGAACCCCGCTCCGGCGAGATTTTCCAGTTAATGCCTTTAAAATCGAAGGCGGTGTCGCGGGTTCGAGAAAGAAGCCTCTGGAGAAGAGAATCGATTCTGCGGTGTTGAGATTTTGCGATTGGTTCTGAGACGGTAGATAACTCTTGATCCGGATTGCGTTGTAGGGTCTTGGCATTTTTGTGAAGTGCAGTGTCCGAGATTTCTAGACATTCAAGCTGTGTGGTTCGTGCGAAAATGGTGGCGTACTCTGTATCCTTTCCTCGCTTTTAATTTCATTCCTTATGTGATCAAAGAACATAGATACTGAATCATTTTCATCATGGAGATGTCTATACCTGAGCATCATGAAACCCAAAAATGAAGGCTACAAATTAAGGCTTCAAATCATAGCAGCCCGGTTAGAATTAAATAGCTCGCCGGAAATGGAGTTGGCTCGCCGGGGAAGAAAGGAAAAAAGTAAAATGACCAAAATACCCTCCTAAATTGACCTATTAAATTTTTCCGGTGAGATTTGGCAAGCAATTTGGCCGGCGTGACCAAAATTGATAGAAATTGCATAGTCAAAGTACTAAATTAACATTTTTGAAAGTCAAGTGTTGCAATTAACACAACCCCAATAGTCAGTGGACCAAAATTGAAATTTTCTCGTACAGAAATTATGAATGTGCAGTATAGAAATTATGAATCTACATTATAAATTTTATGAATCTACAGTATAAAAATTATGAATCTATAGTATAGAAATTATGAATCTACAGACACGGGCCCAGGGCATAATGCTCCTACAAAATTTATATATTTAGAAACTACACTAAAAGTACTATTAAACACAAAAAAATCAAATTTAAAAATAAGTAAAAATACTAAAGAAAATAAACAAAGAAGAAGAATTGATTTGACCAATAAATAGTAAGTAGGACCGATAAAATTGGACAGAGGGAGTATTTATTTTTCATCCATTCAATTCTCTCGTATCTTTCAAGAGTGGATCTACTTTTATATCACCATATAAAAAAATTATAGTGCAATTGGATCACTTAAGTAAAAAAAAAAAAAAAAAAAAAAAAAAAAAAAAAGAGCTCCATTCAAGTCTTCTAAATCGATAAAATTGTTCAATTAAGTTCAAATTGACTTGTTTATCAGGTTAAATTGATGTGGTGTTGACACGTGTCTTTTATATTTTTAATTTTTAAATAAATTTATTTTTATTTACTAAAATTAGAAATATTATTTAAAAAAGAAAAACACAGCCACTGATGTGTGTGGTTTTTTTTAATAATATTTCTAATTTAGTAAATAAAAATAAACTTGTTTAAAAAATTAAAATATAAATGACACGTGTCAACACTACATCAATTTAACTTGATAAATAAGTCATTTTGGATTTAATTGGACAATTTTACCGATTTAAGGGATTTGAATGAAACTTTTTACTTGGAAGACCTAATTGCACTATCCAATTCACTTACCGGCAGGGCAATTTGACACTTTTTCCATAAAATAATAATAATAATAATAATAATGATAATAATAATTTTTAAAAAAGTACAATTGCAATTCTTATCGTCCAAATTGCAAGAGATGACATTTTTTATTAATAAACAAAAAAAGTTATTCCACATTGGATTGCAATGCACCTACTTGCAGGCATGCTGATGGCCTAATATTCAACCTCAAATTTAGAAAAAAAAATTGTAAAATTAATATATATCTAACTATATATATGTAAAGAGCGTGAGAGGGAAACCACATGCATGTTAGTCGGACGGTTGGTTTACTAATCACAAGATTTTAAGTTGGACAATTTAAACTAATTTATGGTTATTTGTCTATTAAGGTCATAAAACGAGTTTTACTCAATGCACATTCTCAAGTAATAATTGCAAGTTTCTCTCGACATTCAAAATAAATGTAGGAAAAAAGAAAAAGAGTTTATAACTTCTATTAAAGATATACTCATGGTCTATTTCCTATTTTATTTCTTTAAATGCATTTAATTTTTTTAAACACTATTAATTTTATGAAATATCATTTGAATCCATCACCTCACAAATAAGGGAGCAACCTGGTACCAGTGGATCACGAGATCCATGGTATTTTAATTTTTTTTTTTTTAATAAATTGAATTCAAGCTACAATTTTAGTGTTGGGTACTAAAAATCCATGCATCACACGTTTAATGGCTAGTAATTCTGTTATGTTGTTGATGTATACTATTTACTCCCATGACATTTAATAAACCGACTAACTCAGCAATGAAATTCATATGCAAGTGCTTAATGTAATTTGCATGATAGTGTTTTTAACTTAATTAGACTTGCCAAGTAACTTGTGACTTTGTGGCGGCATTGTTACCATTTTAAAGGGAAGATCACAAATAGGGTTAAATTGTACTCATAAAATAAAATATAACTAGAATTTTTTCTAGGTGATACATGTTTTGTTAAAAATATTATAAGAATAAATTCATATAAACAATGGGTGTAAACTTTAAAGTGGAATTATAATTATTTTAATTTGCTAATTTTTAAAAATAAAAATAAAAAACCTACACAACATTCATATTCATAATTATCGTCATTGAAATTCACCATTTCAATCCATTTTTCATTATACATTATCTTACTCTTTGTGATGGAGAACAAGATTCATTGTATATGCTGACATAACTTATTCACCGCAAAAGAAAGATCTGGATAAGTGACCATTAAATATTGCAAAGCATCGGCTAAAATCTTGTATTGAGTCGGATCGGCATACGACTTAGTGGACTCATCCGTCACATGCGTAACTGGAAAAAACGTAGCAAGAGGCTTACAGTCCACCATTCCAGCACGTTTCATAATATCACACATATACCACCGGGTTAGACGTATCAAAGAAATCCTAACTCGCTACATGATTAAACAATTTTGCTACCAACCTCTCCTTGTGGTGCTCAGCCGTGCCATTAGCTTTTCGCTTGGTAGTTGGTACGAAACACCCATTTACAGTCAATAACATTCATACTTGGACGATATTCCACCAAACACCACGTATTGTTCTACAGAAGCGCAATAATTCTAGGTCCATTGCTTCACACTAATCGAGAAACTAAACAGCTTGAGTGTAGCATGTCAAGCTAGGAGAATGCATATTAGCAGCAAGAACAACAAGTGTATACCCCGTCACAACCGACCGCGTCATGTGACGCAAAACCATTGAATGTGCGCGAACAGCCTGCAGAGCTGCATTGTAGCCCGATGGAAAGTCTCCAATAATTAGCAACAGGAGTAGAGGCAACCAAAGGAGACGAGTCAGATACCCCCTGAGTAGACTAGCCCAAGGAAGCCACAATCCACGACCCGGAAGGTGACTTATGCAACACAGGCAATGGCAATTTAACCTGTTTGGAAAATGGGAAAACAGTCTCGTCAAAACAAACATATCTGTAAACAAAGATTCGATTAGTGTTAAGGTTCATACACCTATAGCCCTGAAACGAGACAGGATAGCCCAAGAAGACACATGGAGCAGATCGATAATCCATTTTGTGATAATTATAGAGATGCACAAAAAGATAACACAAACATCCAAAGACTCGAAAAAAAGAATAG